GAATACTTGTATGGCCATTCGCACAAGGGAGTTCTGTACAGTCGCGAATGGAACGGAGATCTGTATAATCGCGGGTGTAGAAGAGACCTGTATAGCCGCACGCACAAAGGAATTTTTGCAATCGCGGGTGGAAGACCAGTGTGATCGCGTGTGCAAGGGAGACCTGTATGGCCGCGCACGCAAAAGGAGTCCATAGAGTTGCGGGTGCAACGAGACCTGTATGATCGCGCGTGTAGGAGAGACCTGTATAGCCGCACGCACAAAGGAGTTTTTGCAATCGCGGGTGGAAGACCAGTGTGATCGCGTGTGCAAGGGAGACCTGTATGACCGCGCACGCAAAAGGAGTCCATAGAGTTGCGGGTGCGACGGAGACCTGTACGATCGCGCGTGTAGGAGAGACCTGTATAGCCGCACGCACAAAGGAGTTTTTGCGATCGCGGGTGGAAGACCAGTGTGATCGCGTGTGCAAGGGAGACTTGTGTGGTCGCGTAAATGGTATATGTTAGATTATGTGAATGGAGCTTGTAGGGTCCTAGGTGCAAGGAAGACCAGTATGGTCATGCAAATGGTATACGGGTTGGTTGTAAGGTTGTACGAGTGGGGCTTGTAGGATTGCTCGTGCATGCAGAACCTGGACGGTCGCGCGTACCATTAAGATCTCTATGGTGCAATCAGCGTAAGTAAAAGCTGGAAGTGGATAGAAGTAGGGTGAACAGATCACAGACTGAAGAAATCTGTTAGGCCATACAAGGAGCATGGATGACTGCACCAGTGGTCCTTGTAAGTCTTGCGTGCAAATATGACTCATAAAATCGTGCAAGTAAAGATAAAGTAGGCTTGCAATGAATAGATCACAGCGATTAACGGAATGCAAGATATCGTTTGCAATTTAACATACGACTAACACAAACAACCACCACTTCAAATCTGCTGGCCATCTGCGGGTGTTTCGGGTGGGTTTGGGGGTAAGTTGCCGTCGAAATATTGTTGGGCGTTCTTTCGACGAGATGACGGAACGATAAGTTCCAAAATAATAACGTTAGTATTCAGAGTGTTATGTCTGCTATTCCCGGTGGCGCGGGCGATTTCCAGGATCCGTCATTCTGGAAGGAATTTTATAAGGATTCCAAGAATGCTTTCGAATGGTAAGATCATTAATATTATTTACATTACTCGCCTCATGTATTTCCTGTTTGAGGCATATTTTAATGATATTTAAAATTAATATGTATATATATCTATCTGTTCAGGTATGGTGATTTCAAAAGTTTTGGACGCGTTTTAACTAGATATTTAAAGTCGACGGATAAAATTCTACAAATTGGATGCGGCAGTTCGGAATTGGCGAGCCAAGTATGGTACACTTCCATCCTTATAATTTTTGTTCAAGGCGTTGGTTTTTACAAGAGCGTTTTAATCAACAAAAACTGCAGAACATCTTGAACCGCAAACATGAAGATTATTTATCTCTCTATTAAAAAATCGGCTTTTTTGATAAGGGAATGGATTTGACGGTGTCATCGAACCATTTCGTTATACGCTTCCACTGCTTGTCCATGTATTTCCATGTTTGGGGCACATTTTGATGGTATTTAAAATTGACATGTGTAGACGTCTTACTTTATTATATTGTAAATATAATGTTTTCGAGTTTTAGTGATCTATGTATTTCTCTGCTTTCCTTAGTTTAGTGTCTGAAGCAGAGGAGATCATATTTTATGAAACTGGAGTTTTAAAAGTGAGTTTTTGACTTAAATTATACTTCCTTCAGTTGTCTTACTTGACTTTCTTGTTTTATAGCTTTATGATAATGGCTATCAGATGATTGAGAGTATCGATACTGATGAAGGAGTCATCCAGAAACAAGTTGCCAAGAATAGTTCATCCAGACCGGAATTGCAATTTGTATGTTGTTCTGCAGCAAAGGTAATGTTTTTCGCTTTAACCAACCACACTTTGTAGTTGCAGTTTGCAACCGCATTGATTATAGTTTGCTGAAATCTTCCTAAAGAATCAAATTGTGGTTTAGGTTTTCAGGTTTTTATTTTAATTTATTTACAACGAAGCCTATGAAATCAGTTCTTTGTGTTTTAATTTTTCCTAATTTCCTTCAAAATTTTTTTGAGATTGACGCACCGGACGGAAAATACAACGTTGTCTTGGACAAGGGAACGCTTGATGCGTTAATTCCATCCGCACATGAGGACATGTTGGAAGACGTAGAAAAGATGTTTGCTGAGATATGCCGAGTGCTTACGGTCGGAGGTCGATACATTATCCTTACTCTTGCTCAAAAAATGTGCTCAATTCATACATGGCATTTTTGAGAAACGGTTTGTTTTACTTTTTCATATGTTGGAAAGAAATTTTAGTCAAGTTTAGGAATAAAAGAGAACCAGTTGTGAATCGGTTTAATTCTGGTTAGCTATGAAATGTAATTTAAGTTTCGTGGAAGCATTTCTTATATCTGTTTCTCCCGTTCTAAACAATGGTTTGTAAA